GTAGGCAGCTTTGCTGTCTCCAATGTGAAGCCATTTGAAGCCTCACTAGCCCAAATAACCAAGCTTTGCTGTCATCGGGTTTAATACCACGCCTGACCTGGCCTTATGTGGTTCGTCACTCCCAGTTCCGGGGTTTATGTTTCCGGTTTTCATAACCGAACAGCAGGTATTCGTGACTATGGGATTCTCCTAGTCTACTGTTCATCACACAAATCAGACCAATATGTGTAATAAAAGTACCATAGCTGGTCAGAATTGCTGGTCCAAGTTTTTTCAGCTATCGCCTGCAATGACATTCAGTTCGGGCTGATACCAATGAATGGTGACACCGAATACAACTTTGGAGCCTACCACGAAATCAGTTATTCCTTACATGTAGGGAGCTAAAACGTGTCAAAGTAAGCCTACTCCGCTAGATTTAATTCTCATTCAAGTGAGAATTGTGCGTGAAGATGAAATCTAAGGAATGGTCTGACTAACCAGTACTCACAACAACTTATGAGGGGTAATGCGAATTATTTGCATTTGTATAACTTCTGCAAGCTGAGATATGCTTACATTTCAGTTAAAAATTTCTAATAGAATATAGTATAGTGATGTATGAACTATTCGACTTTTTATTCGGATGTAAGATTTGTCATCTTTTTAAAGGTACTTTTCACTGCATTTCCATTTCATTAAATCCACAGACATTTGAAGAAGCTGTCCAATGTCTTTATCGTAATGAGCTCCAGACTTACTACTCATCCATCGGGTATCGATCAATGTTTGAAACAAGTGGGCGGTTCAATGAACTCATCCAGTCTTTACCAAACGTGATGCCGGAACAAGATGGACCTATCAATCTGTGCGTTCGAGATGCGAATACATTTGAACGGTCCAAATCATCCGGAGATACGTCCGGTGGTTCCGGTTGTCGTGGTCCGTCAGGTATGGAATGGCTTGGTCAGTTTGTGGACATGAAGTGTACCGGGATGTCAACAAATGATTGGACAGAAGGTTTACGCAATGCTCTGAGTCAATCCGATTCCGGATTGGTCGAAACAGACACGGAAAGTGCTTCCCGTATTTCTCCGTCACCGACTTCGCACCGTGTCGTGCCTGTTTCGGCCAGTGCTAGCACGTTGTACACATCCACACCGCTTCGTCGATACCCAGACGCATTGACATCAAGGAGTCAAGTCAAATCAGAACCGACGGGAGAAAGGTCGGTCAAACAACGCGCTTCTTCTATGATTCGATCGAATGTTACGATGAGAATGTCCGGACGTCAGGCACAATTGAATGCGCATTGTACACGGCGTAGACGGGTTGGATGGCGTGGTGTAGCAATGTGTGCCGCATGTGGCATGGTTTGTTCTGGCATGGATCAGTTGAATCTGCATTTTGCCTTGGCTCATTCCCATCTGTTAGCTTTGGAGTGGAGAATGGCCCAGTACAACAGCACTAAAACATCTAAACTATTATTCCAAGTAAGTTGTCAGCTCAGAAGAGCAAGAATCGGTTACGGTTTCAACTCGATTTCTCTCTCGTTAACATTTACTGTCATCACAGACACCGCTTAGTGCTTTAATGGTTTGAATCAATGGATGTATTGTACTGATATTGTATTCCCGGAACGCTGACCGAATTATATGCTTTTGAATTTTAAGATGTCTTCATAATTCATGAACACATTTCAGACAAGCACTGAGACCACTTGAATCGATAACGGCACATCTTGAAATGAAATAAGGTATGTACAAATCCATAATAAAGAAGGAAAAAGTTCTGGATGACTTGTTGCACTGTGATTATACTGAGGTAACGCATCCGAATGAGATCTCACTGGAATGCCACGAGAGGCTATTCACATATACGTGGGTTTACCTGCCACACGAGCAATTCTCGCTGCAATAAAAGGGGGGATTGAGCTTCAGATACCAAAATAGAAGGTCACTGATGAAGTTCGAACATCAATTGTAGAATGAGATACAAAGCCAGATTAAGTTTTGTTTACTCCCGAAATGGGGATATAACGAATAGCTTAAGTTCCTTTTAAATGATCGCTTCAATGGAATGGTTTATATAATTGACAACCATAAAACACAAAACCCATAAAAGATAAAATAAAGTTTTATCAACTATGTAGCTTTTTCAATTTTTGCGTTCAACGGTTAGCTTTCCCGGAGAACGGAAAAGGTGAGGGTTACACCAAGCTGTTATTTCAAGAAAAGTATGTTAGCTAAAAAAGGGAGCCTGAATCACAGAGTAGATCATATTTACTCGCAGTAAATCGTATAAAATTCCAGTAGGGAGGTCTCTATCAGTGAATGATCATTACAAGTAAAGTTGTAAGTGAAATTTGTGGGAACACCTTTCTCAAGATCAAGCATTTTTTGTCTAAAAATTGCAGTTCAAAACTTGATAAAAATGAACACTGGTCGCATAATTAAAAAAATCATGTTATTTGACGTAATATTATATTCGAAAATGATATTTACTCCACCATTATTATCATCATTGTTTATTGAATCGTATATTCCCTTGATATACAGGCCCAACTGGATCGTTTATTGTCCGAAAAAACTTCCGACAACGCATCTTCCTCTTGTCCTGCAAGCCCACTGCAAACTGATGTGCATTCCGAAATTCCAAACACAACTACTTCGGGGACAACCTATCCGCTAACTGGAATGGATTTTGAACCGGATCATGAAATTAAACCGTCATCCAGTTCAGACTCCAAGAGTACCAGTTCCCAAGGTAGTCCCAGTCCATCCCATCTGAGCCATGCGAACGACGAAACAAATCAACCGCCCGATTTGTACGCATCCGGGTCGATCGAAACCCAACGAACACCACTGTCTGAGGTTGAACTGTGTCCCCTTGGTCCCAAGCCAACCGCATCCCCTGATCTGCTGAACGAGGACGACAGACGTGGGAATAGTCGATCGAAAGGTTACCCTTGTCCCCGATGTAGCTACACGGCCAAATGGCCCACAGAATTGCAAAAGCATGTTATGGTCCACGCGAATTCTCGGCCGTTTGTCTGTTGTGTCTGTTCGACCAGCTACAAGTGGAGTTGGGATCTGGGACGTCATTTTAGTAATGCTCATCCGGGTCTATTGAATCCGTACAAACGATTGCGGGTCACCAGACATGGATCGAATGCGGTTCGGAATAACACAACCGATACCATACCTATTGCATCCACACACGTATAGTCGAGTGTGAAAGGCACTTTTATACTTGAGTGCGTTAGAAGGCATCTATGTGAAAATGAACTTTTATATTTCAGACTACTTCAGGTATCTTTTTTGTTTTATTCCGTACCAAATACTCTTTTATTCCGAAAATGCTCAAAAATTGACTACCGGGTTCTGATTTGCCCAATTTCATTGGAGAAAAAGACGTCATTTTATGCTCACAAATCCTATGCGCCCCATTCCCTGTTTAAAACAAATTTCCAATTTTCCCTTTTTTAATCCTCCTTTATCTATCTTTTAGCTGGTATTTTTCCATTGCCGTAACTCATCCGAGTCACTTACGCTGTGCATCAGTATTTTGTCATATCTAATAGAATGTGCACTGTTCAGATTAAAATCTTCTCCCACAGATGGGTCGAAATCATTGTTCGTCTTTTCAACATACACTGTCCCTTGCAGAGAAATTCAAAAATGCATAGGAGCGATTGAATCTATATATGGAAGATGGAAAATCTGTTGTATTCGCTGCAGTCCATACGGTTATTATTATTATTTTATTATTATTACTATTTTTATTTTCATCATAATCATCATCTCCCCCTCACCATCGAAGTTGCGGTCATAAACGTTCGAATAACTATGCCTCGTAATTAGTTTCGAAAAAGAGTCAGGGATGACTACTGCAATTTTTTTAAATAATATGTAGTGTACTTCAGTGAAGCAGTATCGGCCGTGTAGAGTAGTGTCAAATGAAAATCATTTTATTTTTCCCTAGAGGATATTTATTTATCAGTTGAACAGTTGGTAATTTCTTGATTTATTCTTACTTCCTCTCTTCTCTGACAGGGTATCTGAGTAATGGGTATTGAGAAGGTATAAGCAAAGGATGAGAGCAACGGGTAGTCATAAAGAAGAACAAATGGTGTTCAAAACACGAGGCCATGTCATCCCATGTGGGTAACTGCAAATTCGATTTACTGTTTCGATTCCGATCTCTCTCACGTGTGCTATTCCCTTCACGAGACGCCTTGTGCATTATGTGCCTGCGGCTAAGCACACACTGAAGAGCGAACTGATAACCAACTAACCACCAAACGAAACAGGCAAAACTCAAGTGACAGGTCTGTGGAAGCTCTCATAGGGTGGTCCGCTCATGTCCCGATTTTGGATAGTCGCCCTACTGCATTACGAGTTAGATCTTTGAGTCGAAGACTGCAGTTAGGATTCACAAAGAAAAGAAAAACGCGGGGATTCCTTTGTATTTTCGACTAGAATTTTGAATAAAAGGTTCCGATCAAATGGGCTACCACGATGCATGCTGTAGCATAAAATCCCATACAAATATCTGAAGAATCCTGGTTCTCATCGGTTGGTTTCGTTCTTCTTATCTCAAAACTATGGAGATGTATCCTGCTTCCGCCCCTCAAGTTATGTTTCTTAGAGTAGGTAGGGGAATCAGAAGTTGCTGAATCCCGAGCTACAATCGTTCCGCATTATATCCAACGTCAGAAGTCTTTATATTGATCAAACCGAAGTCACCCATTTACTTAGTTGTATTCAGTTCCCAAACACTATCGGATCTACAAACAAACTGCTTTGGTTCATTGGTATAATCACCCTATAGCGAAATTAAATAAAACGGACTTCCCCAATCTCTCTCAAACGTATAATATGTGTGGTGTTGGCGCGGTGGTTTAGTGGCTGTCACAGGCGTGCTTTGGACCCTATGGTCCGAGGTTAGAGCCCCGCCACCGCCACCCAACTTTGGTGGTACGCAGCTTTGCTGTCGCCCGGTTCAATACCACGCTTGACCTAGCGCAGTCTTATGTGGTTCCCCACTCCAAATCCTGGAGCTTAGGTTGCCGGTTTCCATCATTGAACAACAGGTCCTCGTGACTATGGGGCATTCCCCGTCTGCTGTTCACCACACGAAAGTGTGCAATAAAAAAGGCAGTTGGTTAAAACCATCGAAGTCTTCATTGTAGATGTATGCTCTCCCTTAAACAGGCTTCAATTACTGCTCTACTCTCTTCACATTCGACCTCTTCCTCGCGATTGACTCTCCGTATATTGGGCAATTTTGCGTTAGCGCACTTGTTGCTAGCGTCGGGATTGTTTTTATTGTCAAGACTGAGCGCTCGCTTCTAGACTGGGTCCCGGTCAGTGGCCGTTTTTACGTTACAGTACAAGACAACAGCAACAGAAAGATGCGTCAACACTTTTTCATACTGTCAGCGTGTGCCGACTGATTCTATGGAGCTTGGGACGAGGACTAATTTCTACAATGACCTCTATATCCTTACAGTGTTCGCTCAACGGAAATTGAAGTTATCGCTGGAGACTATAAAGCTGGAGTGGGATCCCCATATGAAATAACAAGGCCTCTGCCGGACCAAATACAATCCCATCTATCTGCAGGGACAACTCTGAGCAGAACACGTTTTTAAATATCGAGCATTAAATTTGACACAAAGTGACATCGCTTTGCATGGAATATCCTTATCCGTGTTCAGCGATAAACTCAATACGATTACATTGCTATCGGCCACCGCTGAATAGTATGTACTCAAGACCACGGCTCCTATCGGTAGGTGATATTGGAAACGTACCACGCTCTAGTACAAGCCACATTCGGCCTTTGTCTAATAAATGATTGCACCTAAGTGGATGCAGACAGTACAACCTTAGCAAAAAACTACTAATCGACCTTCGAACCCTAGACCTTCCATCGTTTCTCAATCCTTTCGCAATACAAAATTTACCACCAAATCGTATTGAATGTTAAATTTGCGAACGGCGTCTATCGTTAGACGTACGACAAGACCAGTTTACACCATTCCGATTGATATGGAAACACCCTTTATGAAAACATCGGCCTCTACCTGATGGGTATTTGTTTACTAGCCAATAATCACAAAATGTCTACCTAAAAATCGATGTGGATTATGCAACAGTTAGCCTGAAGTAAGTGTCACGATTTACACAGTGGATCGAGTCGGTATCTCTAATGTCGCGAATCCAGTTCGTACACTTCATTGTAGCAGTTTGGATTCATGACTTTACGGTTACGTTATACGGACTAGCTGAGAGTAAACCTGCAAATTGTATGAGAACAATGGAGGAATTGATTTGTTCAAAGGATGAATTTGCCATGTAACTGAGGCGTGAGCTGAAAAGCACTGTACAGCTGTTTTGACCTGGTTGGGTCTCATCAGTCATCAGCATTACAATGAGTATGTGAGCAATGTATCTATGTGTGCATATATGTATATATGTACATGTAAATGGGAAATGGTTCGATCAGCTACCCGGTGGCCGAGTGGATAGCATGCTTGCGTTCTGCCTGTGAGATCCCGGGTACGATCTCCAGTAAGGTCGATGGATTTACCCTGCTGATGAGACCAAAGCAGGTCGAAACAGCTGTATAGTGCTTCCCAGCTTTTCAGCTCGTGTCTCATTTACAAGACTAATTCATCAAGTAAAATCAAATTATTTGAAACCCTGATTTCGGAATAATTAGGACGGTTGGTATGAAGAGGATTTTGTGAGAACTAAATGGTGAAATTGTCTGCTAGCGAAACCTTCGAACTTCAACCCGCAATAGCCATTTTTTTATTTCACATACGCTTGAGTCCAGAATGTGTGCCAAAAAATCAAAGTAAAATTGATCTATATAAAAAAGTTCCGTGATTTGTTTTTCGATGCGATACTTCGGGTTGGCCAGGAAAGCAGATGAATTTTCTTGGAAAATTCACAACCGGAGCCTCCGGTTGGCCGAAGCCTGACGCGAAAGGCGGTGGGGATGTATGAAAACCGCAATCCATTGGGGACCTGTGTACAGTTCATCGGATCATTCGTCCTTTGGAAAAAGAGCCCAGGATACCTCGATACTCAATCTAGACGCTGACCACTGCCACAACTAAGAAGATGTGGGTGTTGATGTTTCGTACGCCTTTTGGTTTGTTTGGAATCAGTTGTTTGGTCAACTCCCCTAGGTGAACTATCAACTGTTCACCAACCCGGTTATCTTTCTTCCTCTCACTTTGTTTGGAAAACATCCACTAGAGGGAGTCGGCGGAGTCGGGGCTTCTTCAGCAGAGGTTATTTGAGACGCTTCTTGGTCGTACATGAGCATGCGCGAGATGCAAGGGCAAGGTGACCAACCACAACCTGAGAAACCCACCTCCGACCATAAGGAAGTTTTCGGAGTCTTTTGCACAGCAGACAATTGGCTTGAGACGACCCAGACTCGAAAAATGGTGGTTTCATGATGGTTTTCGTGGGTGGGATGCGTCTAACCGCAATAACCTCGGAACCAGAGCCGATTTTTGATAGTAAAAATGTTAAGTAGCATATAAATGACTGAACAGAATGGTCCGTTTTCGCATTTCTTTGTCTATCATCACTTATATTTATCCCTTATCCTTGTGCTCCCCACGTGAATAAAGCCACAATATTTCCACCTGCTTTTGGGGAAATTCGATCCACTGATTCGTAAATTGCTGAGCGTAAATAAAAAATTGATCACGTTGTGGTACCTTAAACAAAATATTCTTGATCTTCAAATCAGGTTTCTTCTCACGGAGATCAATGGGATCAATGGAACACGAAAGCAAAGGGAGACGGAGTTGATAGGTTAGAGGAATGCTTTGTGTAATAAAGGGGTCCGTGGACTATTTGTACCGTCTTGGAAACCAATTTGTCCCGGTTTCCTTTCAAATTTTTTCATCATCGGCGTTTTGACCTGCCTCAGTTCCAACTCATCATCATAATCCTAAAGTAAAACAGTGAAGCTAACTTCACCAATCGCTGTCAAACTCGTGATGCTTAAAAAGTCAGCAAAAATATGTGTATTGGTCAGGGATTAGGCCTATTTGAGGAAGGAGAAAGAAAAATGAGCCACTATGATCAGCACAACACAGTCTGACCTCGCGTATGTACGTTTTCAAGCATTTCGGCTTGATATGAAATGATGATAAGGAGGCCACTGCTTTTGTTGTCCGCAACCTGGAAGATGA